AAGAAATACAATTGTGGGCTAGGGATTTAGCTCAATTGTTCCACTGCCTGCCTCACAAGCACAAGGGCCCAAGTTTGATCCCCAGTACCAAAAAAAAAAAAAAAGAAAGAAAGAAAAAGAAATACAATTGACTTGAGTAATCTTGCATTCAGTAAACTTGCTAAACATTAAGGTATTCTTAAGACTATTCTAGGTTTCACACATAGATAACAACAGCATCTGTTTATGATGATAGTTTTGCTTATTCTTTTTCTAATCCTTACCTATTTCATTTATTTATTTAGGCCTGTTCCTTAAGTATTCCCTTAATGCTTCCAAAGAATTAGGCATTGAACAAAACAGGCAAAAGCTCTGCTGTCATGGAACTGACATTCAACCTATTGAACTGGCCAGAACCAGAAGCTCAAAGTTGAAAAGAAGTGGTAAGAGGCATCACTGTCCTTTTCTGAATTTAAAAGGAATCCATTCTAAATTTTACCATTATATATGTACAGGATTTCTTATTGATAGTTCTTATGTAGTAAATAACCCCTAACTGCTAGTAATCTGTATGAAAAATTTGTTTTATGGATGTCTTCTCTGCATCCATGACATAATCACACTCTTGGATTCCGCTGAGCTTTGGGCGGGGGGCAGTGCTAGGGATCTGACTCAGGACCTTGTGCTTGCCAGGCAGGTGCAGCACCACTGAGCTGTATCCCTGGAACTCCTCTGGGCTATTAATGTAAATTACAGTAATAGATATTCTGAGTTGGACCCTGAATTCCTGGAATAAGTCTGACTTATATTTTCTGTAAGCTGTTGGATTTGGTGTGCTTATATATTGTCCAGGATTTTCCATCATTAGTTAGCACACATGGATTGTGATCTTCCTAACTTACATTCTTTTTTCAAAAATTTGGCATCAAGATCATACCAGGCAGGGCCAGGGATTTAGCCCAGTGGTTCCAATGCCTGCCTTGCAAGCGCAAGGTCCTGAGCTCAATCCCTGGAACCAAAAAAAAAAAAAAAAAA